CCCCACACCCACCTGCGCAAACTGCTCCATCAGCTGCTCGTACCGCCCCTCCCACGTCTCCTGCATGCTGGGCGCCTTGGCGCCGCCGCCGCTGCTCATTAGCGCCTGCAACCGCCCCGCCGCCGCGCCCTTGCCTAAAAAAGGGTTGGGCCGGGGTCAAGGGGGGGTTGGAGAAGCAGGGGACGCGGCGGGAGCGTGGGCGGGGCGGGGCGGGGCGTGCACAAGGGCCGTCGGCAAGAGGACAGAAGGGGCGGCCCCCTGCAAAGGCCTCGCGACCTGACCCAAGGAATCCATCCAACACGCGCGCAAGGTATGATATGTGGTAGCCGACACAAGACAGCACCAGGCAATTGCCTGATTTCCCCAGCCACCCAGCGCCCCCGCCGCCCGCCGCCTCACCGCCCGCCGGCGGCGCGCCCGGCGCGAGCACAATCCCCGGCGCCGGCAGCAGCCGCCCGTGCTCGTCCCTCAAGTCATCCGCCCTGAAGAACTTGGCGCCCTGCCCCAGCCGCGTGTTGGCGATGTGCTCCAGGCTGTTGCGCCGCTCGAGCTCCGCCGCCGCCGCCGCGGCGCCGTCCACCGGCGGCGGCAGCGAGCCGGGCGGCGGCGGGCCGGCGACGGGGGCGATGCCGATGCCGAAGCCGCCGCCGGCGTCCGAGGTGCTGCTGGCCGTGCTGAGCGTGCTGAGCTCGGGGTCTGGCGGCAGCACAACCGAAATCGGGGAGAGGCCGTGCGGTCGGCGGTCAGGAGCAATCGGCGCGTTGACGATTGACCAGGTTTGACCAGCTGCTTGACTGGTGCAAGTGCAAGAGGTACATGCACCTTTTGAAAAACTGGGGAAGCCTGAGAAGGAGACCCCGCAGCGTCCTATCCAAGAAATCAGAGTGAGATAGCGAGGTCACAGCGGAAAGCGGGGTGCGGCCGCCCGCCGCAGCCCGCACCTTTGCTGGCGCGCCGCGAGGGGTCCGCGGACTGGGGCTGCTGCTGCTGGGCGGGCGCGGGAGCGGGTACGCCGGAGGCGGCCCGCTGCAGCCGCGAGATCCACTCGTACTTTGAGTGCACGTTTTCCGCACGCAGCACGATGCTGGGT